AGGGACGGGGAAGTGAGAAAACGGGAAATGGGAATAAAAAAGAATGGAAAAAAGAAGATAAAATGTGGGGAAAAGCGATTCGATTAAAAAAGAGAGTTGAGCACCAAACGGGCTTCAAGAATCCGACAGAGGCCGCCGACTCGCGTTGTTTATGTACCCAAGGCGGGAGGAAAACACCCACGCTATATATAAACCCCTACAAAAATAATCCTCTCTGCCAGGAATTTTTTTCTTTCTTTTCTCGCGAGGGTCACGGGCGTTCGAGCCACCATGATTCATCTTTCCTATCGATTTTTCCGCTTCTTTTCAGGCCAGCGAAGATGACGGGACGCTGTCTTCTGACTTGCATCAGCTGTTGGCACGGAGATTCCGCGGAGTAAATTTGTTTGTGTGGTTAAGGGGTTAAGGGCCCTCCCACAGCGCCCCCCCCCCCCAGCACCGCCACCCACGCACTGCCCACAACTATGATAATTGTAAGCCTCCCTAATGCCCTTGTTACTACGCATTCGAACACAACTGAATAGTTATTCGAATAACAAAATAGTATCTAAATAAATGGATGTGGGGTTCTGACAGAGATACACTTATGCAGAGAGCGTACGCGCACGCAAATAAACAAGCTCGACCTTCCTGTTGCAAGCAGGTATGAATTAACTGTAAAGATCAAGGCTGCATTAATATGGCTTCAGTGGAATGTGCGAAGAAAAAAATCTTCACCGTTATGGCAAACACTTTATTTCCTTCACAATTACGCGCGTCAATTATCACCTCACAGCGCAATCACAGTCTCACACCACACTCATCATTATCATCGTCCACCATTAGCACCATCATCGGTTGAGCGTGAAAGGACCTGGATCGGAGAATGAAAGCCGGCGCTCGCCATTACCCGCAGTGAGGTGAAGGTAATGGACTTACGCTGCCGGTAATCCCACGAGGATTCATTTGGCGGCACCGGGGGATTACAGGTGTATCGGCGGGGATTGGTTCTCCCCGCGTCCTGCCCGCCTCCCCTTCCCTCTTCTCACCGTCCCGTCCGCCTCCCCGCCCCTCGCGGTCCACTAAGTGCGAGTTGGAAGTCCATTAATTCTTCCTGATCAGACGGGCGGTGCTCCGAGTGGGATGGGCGACGTGCGGGTCAATATGCATGCGCGGACACAAAGCGCAATACAAAGCAAACGCAAACACGAAGCATAGAAAATACACGTACAAGCACAAAAAAAGAAGAAGAAAAAAAAACAAGCCGGCCTGCGCACGCATGACGCAGGGTGGTCTTGGTCAGGCTCTCCCCGCTACTTGTTTATCTTTCCTCCCTCCTCATCTCCTCCAGTTTGCCTTTCCCTCCCTGATGGCCACACCCAGCACCGCAGCGATTTCTTTACTATTTTTTTGTCGACTAATTTGCTTTGCCATATTTGATATCTAGATTATAATCGATCGCTTGCCTCTTCTTTTGGCCCTTCGGTGCCTCTCGCGCTGCCTGCCTCATTACTGTTCAAGTACCCGAAATTAAATTGCACATTGGAAGACAGGGACCAAGCAGGGCAAGCTGTGACGGAAGTGATCTATGTTATCGTAAAACTGGACACTCGTGAAAACGATATAAAAACACAAGAAGTGTATCGATTATTCGAGCTCCTCTCGCCCCCCTCCGCCGAGAGCACACGCCCACAAGCCTGCGACCTTAGCAGTGGACGCTGCAGGACCGGAAGAGAAGCGGGGTCCGCCGGCGGTGGCGGAGGAGCCAGTTTTTTGCGAGGCAATCCCTTCGCGGCGGTGATCAGGAGGCCCCGCAGGCACTCCCCCCGTCCCTCCGCCTCCCGATGCTAGCGGTGCCGCCCTTTGTCCGCGGTGGAGAGCGACTTGCGTCCTCCTGGCAATGCGCGCTTGAGGTCGTCTCTTCCCTTGTACGGAGGCTGGAGTTTACGCCAAGAATGCCTTGTCACTACGTCAAGATTTCAAATTATGTGCGTAGATGTATGTATGTACGTATGTTATACAACAAATGAAAAAAGAAACACGAGAAGAAAAACTGTTAAATGAAAATCTACAGCAAATAATGGGTCTTACTAACTACAATATAATTTCAAGCTAAGGGTTTTCTCTGGCCACTACGAGCAGACCCCGAGGGACAGTCCACAAAAAACTTACCTTTCTTTGCGTCGCATCATCAAAAATGCCACAGCGCACCAGATAAAACCCAAACTAATGACCTGCAACACACAAGGTATCACAGTGTCACACGCCCACTCATTTGCATGCTGGCGGGCTGGCTGTGGAGCCGGAAGGCTGGCCATACCTCCTCCTCCTCCTCCTCCTCGGGCTCTTCCTGAGGAGCTGGAGGAGTGAGCAAGGGAGGATGAGATGGAGGATCAGAAGGGAAGAACTGGACAAGAATCTACAATAGGGATGGAAGTTGGAAAGAAAGTAGAGACGTTACCTCGTGGGAGTACGGCCTCAGACGCGGCCTTGACGAGCTCGAGGAAGAGACAAGTCTGCCCTGAGGGAGAAAGGCACCACCAAATTAGAAATGAGGAAGAAGGATTGCAGAAATAAACAATATTACCAAAATACTACAAGAAAACCAGACTACTTTACTTCTACAGTAATACAGAAAATTACTACTTGTGAAAACATGAAAAATTCAATCTACAAGAATCACAGAGAAGAATATATCCATTTTACCACTTCTTACAACTACCATAAACATGCAGTCTGAAAAAGGAAACAAAACCCGTCATAAATACACTGCCATTCACCACCAATGTCGAGGACTATGGGAGGCTTTCGTATCTAAAGAGGAAAGGGACTACAAAATGGTTAGAGGACAGAAGGACTGCGCGGACAGGAAGGGGAAGGTAACGGACCAACGGACACCAGGACAGCACGGACAGGACCAGGCACAGGTGCGGGAGTGAGGGACAACGTCCAAGTGGGGCGGGCGGAATTCACGCCCCTCAGGGCATCACGTAATTGGCCGACTGCTGAAAGGGGGAATCGCGGCGGCGGGGAACGTAATGCATGGAGGAGCAAGCAGACATTAACACGGTAACCACGACAGGGGGGCGCGACGACAGGGGAAGGAGGGGGGAGGGGGCACGAACGCACAGGAATGAAATGAACAGGAACTGGTAAAGGAGAACAGGAGGAAAGGAAAGCAGTAAAGGAGAACAGGAAGGAGGGAAAGGGCGAACGGAGGAAACTCGAGAGGAGAAACATAAAAGGGCGGGACGGAGAAAAAGGAAGACGCGGAGGAAAGGAGCGGCGAACACGACGTTCCGTTAAATGAGAGAATGAGAAATAGACGAAAAAAGGAAAATTAGACTTGGTTTTCAAGTGTCACATACCGTAATATATAGATATATATATATATATATATATATATATATATATATATATATATTACATATATATATATATATATATATATATACATATATATATATAACATATACATATATATATATATATATATATATATATACATATATATATATAATATATACATATATATACATATATATATTATACATACATATATATATATAATATATATATATATATAATACATATATATATATAGTATTATATATATATATATATATATACATATATATATATAATATATACATATATATATATTATATATATATATACATATACATATACATATAAGCATATACAATATACATATACATAACACACACATACACACACACACATACATATACATATATATAGTATATAATATATATATATATATATATATATAATATATTAATATATATATATATTAATATAGTATACATATATATATATACATATACACACTATACACACATAAATACGGCACATAATTATATATATATATACACATTGTATAGTATATGATATATAATATTAATATCGCGGCGCGGTAGCCCCACACATACATACACACATCACACACAAATACGCACGCTTGCGCGCATGCACGCGCACACACATTCTCCAATGCCCCAGCCCCATTGACCGCCATCGATTCCAAAATCGCGGCGCGGAAGCCCCGCCTCAGCCTCCGAGCGACAAAAGCGCAACTGGCGGCGGGCACGGGGTGTGGCGGCGGAGGGGAGGAGGAGGCCGTCATAGCCCCTTCGCGCCGCCCACTTTTTCACGAGGAATGTCGGGGGGGAAGGGCAGGGGGGGGGAGGAGGAAGGGAGGGGAGTGGAAGAGGGAGGAGGGGGGAAGAAGAGGGAAGGAGAGGCGTCGTAATCCCGCAAAGACCCCCCTGCCCCCTTCCCTCCTTCCCTTCCGCGTACATCGCCGAGCTGACTCTTTCGCGCCGCTCGCCTGGCTGTCACTCGCGCCAACTCGGCTTCTCTATGTCTCTAATGCTTGCTTTCGCTCTCTTTCGCTCTTTCACTGCCATCTCTTCTTTCGCTGTCTGTTTGTTTCTGTCTGTCTGTCTATGTGTCTGTCAGACCTAAAGATGGATTCAAGGAGTCCGAAACGGTTGTCCCATATATCTAAATAAATATGTTTTGTTTATTGTCGATTTTTTCTATCAATTGTGTCTGTCTGTCTCTCTCTATTATACATCTCCGCTCGGCTCTCTCTCTCTCTCTCTCTCTCTCTCTCTCTCTCTCTCTCTCTCTCTCTCTCTCTCTCTCTCCTCTCTCTCTCTCTCTCTCTTCTCTCTCTCTCTCACTCTCTCTCTCTCTCTCTCTTTCACCCCCCCCTCCCCCGCCGATTCCCGCATGTAAGGGGGAAATCTATCACAAGAGATCTCTGTAATTTCTCCCTCTCCCTCCGCCTCCTATCTCGCGACGCCCGTAGTCTCCGCCCAATAAAGATGGATCGATGTTTTCTATTGGGCTTTACCGAAACTTTTTTTTTTTTTTATAATCCTGTTTTAGTTTTTCATTCTAGATCGTATTACATAGCCCTTTATTCGATTCACTATTAAACATATATCTTATACCTGATCATGAATATTTACACTATCATCGCCTGCGTTATTAATGCTTATTTTGAGAGTAATAACACGAACAGACGCATTTTGGCCTCTTAATAAAATCAATTATCCAAACATCCAAAACCCAAAGAGTTCCGAGAGAAACTTTTATCAATAGGCCTATGAATCTCACCGCGAAAAAAGAAATCATAATTACAGGCCGATAACACAAGAAATGGGCTAATTATGCAAAGTTCGGCCTCTTGATTTATAGCCAGAAAAAAATATAATTAAAAGGCCTCGATCTTCGAGAAAGTTAAGTACTTGATTAGGATCGATAAATCAGTGCTGAACACACGTTCATGACACCATGAGGGAGGGGAGGGGAGGTGAGGGGAGGGAGGAGGGTGGAGAGAGAGAGAGAGAGAGAGAGAGAGAGAGAGAGAGAGAGAGAGAGAGAGAGAGAGAGAGAGAGAGAGAGAGAGAGAGAGAGAGAGAGAGAGAGAGAGAGAGAGAGAGAGAGAGAGAGAAGAGAGAGAGAGAGAGAGAGAGAGAAGAGAGAGAGAGGGAGAGAGAAAAAGGAAGAGAGGGTAGAGAGAAAGAGGAAGAGAGGGTGAGAGAGAAAGAGGAAGAGAGGGTAGAGAGAGGAAAGAGGAAGAGAGGGTGAGAGAGAGGGAAGAGAGGGTGAGAGAGAGAGGAGAGAGAGAGAAAGAGAAGAGAGGGTAGAGAGAGAAAGAGGAGAGAGAGAGGAAAGAGGAAGAGAGGGTGAGAGAGAAAGAGGAAGAGAGAGGGTGAGAGAGAGAGGAAGAGAGAGAGAGAGGAGAGGGTGAGAGAGAGAGAGGAAGAGAGGGTGAGAGAAAAAGAGGAGAGAGAGTGAGAGAGAGAGAAGAGGAGAGAGAGAGAGAGAGAAGAGAGAGAGAGAGAGAGAGAGAGAGAGAGAGAGAGAGAGAGAGAGAGAGAGAGAGAGAGAGAGAGAGAGAGAGAGAGAGAGAGAGAGAGAGAGAGAGAGAGAGAGAGAGAGAGAGGCAGGCAGGCAGGCACGGAGAAGCGTGGAGATAAAGACACAGCGAGCGAGAGAAAGCCAGCCGGGGCAAGAGGCTAACTGCACAACTGGTCCATGAACCATGCATACGAAGTCACGCACACACCTATATACTGGACATGCTTCGTCTACAAATTCTCTGTTTAACTTCAACTTCCGCTTTGAGAACATAATTCGAGATGCTATCATTTTTCACTATCTAGCAAATAAATCTTTTAAATATACCCACAAACAAACTGTACAGAATCAGTAAGAGAAAATAGCATCAATGCATTCAAAATACGCAGGCAAACGTTAATGTCAAATTTGCATTAAATAATTTTTTTCATCGGCCCGAAAGTGAAAATTGTTTTATCTTTCATATTACTATTTTTACTGTGCGTTTTTCGTGATTTTTATTCCAGCTATCACGATATTTTTTCACATCAATCAATATTATGATAAAACCCGTACATCACAGACTCGCAACCTCATTAAACATTTTTACTCTAATTTCGTAACCTTTACGCCTTCCTTAATGTCTCAATGTGTAATTTTATCCCTATTTCACGACCTCATCCACCCTCTCTCCTCTTTCTCCTCTCCCTCCTCTCCCTCTTCCTCTCCCTCCTCCTCTCCCTCCTCTCCCTTCTCTCTCCTCCTCTCCCCTCCTCTCCCTTACTCTCTCCTCCTCTCCCCTCCCTTCCCCTCATCTCCTCTCCGCCGCCGAACTGACTCGAAGCCGAAACATTACCGTGTGGCGCGCGAGGAGGACGCGAGGCCGCCGACGCCGCGCACGTACCTGGGGAAGAAAACAACAACACATTAGTCAAGATTTACAACCGAGCCTCTTCACGTCGTCACCGTAAACATGGCCGGGCTTACCTGAGGGAACCCGGAGCGAGGGATTAACCTCTGAGCAAACCCTGGGACGGCTTAATGTAGACAAAGGCTCTTCAGATGAATTATAAAATAAAGAAAGCTTGTGGAAATAAAGAAGAAAGGAGAATCGCGAGAGGGCGATCCGCGTAGGCCTATCTCTTCGTCCCTTATTCCATCCTTCACATCTCTCTGCCGCAGCGGGTGGGGGCGTGGAGGGGGGAGGGAGGGGAGTGTCGGGGCCAATACGCTCCCCAGGGGGTGCCACCAACACCACATCGGCCTCCTTGTATAATCAACAAGTGGCGGAGCTAATGCCTACATTAGTCAATGTTGTGATGGAGCGGAGTGAGGGAGGGAGGGAGGAAAGGGTGAAGGGAGGGAAGGATGGAGGAACGGGGGAAGGGAGGGAAGGGGCGAGGAAGAGGAGGGAATGAGGGAGTGAGGGAGGGAAGGAGGGAAGAGAAAGGGGAAAGGAGGAAAGAGAAATGAGAAGGGAGGGCAGAGAGAGGAAAGGAGGGCTTAGAGGGGAATGGAGGGTTGAGACGAAGAAAGGGAAAGGGAGAGCAAGAGGGGTAATAAAAAGAGGAGGGGGGAAAGGGATGAGCATAACGTGTAGGAATCGAATAACGGGAAGAAGGACAGCGGCCGTTCCTGAGATACCTT